GTGTGTGTGTGTGTGTGTGTGTGTGCACGTGTCTGTGTGTTTACTGTCATGTTCGCTATACACAAGCCCACAAGACTATTTCGTCAGACTTTGTGTGTATGGATGTTTTGAATTCTAACCACCCCCCAAAAAGTTTGCAGCAGAGAAGATGCAGATGCATCGGGTCCGCTGTCTGTGTCCAAGTCGATCATCTGGTATGCGGACTGCCTGGCAGTGCCTGCTATCCACTTAACCATTGTGCAGTCGAGTACAGATCTATTTATTCAGAGACGTAACTAGGAATCTAGGATGGACCTCTTACTTGAGCAGATGGGCTAAAAGGGTGAGAATGGGTGATATCCCCACCTAAGAAATGCATTGTGTATTCTGCGATAAGTAATGTACAGCTCATTGTGTTGATGAAGTGATTCCATTCTTTTTTCTTTTCTTCCCCCCCAATGAATAGCTATAAATTTGATGGAAGGAGGTATTGCTGGTCGCGGGAGGAATTTTTGACTCAGAAGGATATGGGCTTGACTAACAGTCAATCCTTTCTGAAGGAAGTAATCAAGGTTCTAAGGGGTCCCTGGGCCGTAGTGCAGGGAAGGGTTGAGAGTGTGTTGATCATGTATGCAAAGAACCAAGTTGTTATCATCCTGGAAATTTCACAGTGTGAAACTCAAAAAGAGAGAATGTTGTTCAATTGCAACAGAAGAATGGAGAATCGGAGAAGAAGATAAACACAAGCAGGAACCTCTGTCACTCCTCCCTCATCTCGCCACCATCTCTCCTCCATCACCTCCCCCAACATCTTATCTATACTCTTTATAAAGGGAATAGTGGGTCTCGCATGACGCTCCCACGAGCCCGGGCTCTCTGTGTTGGGAAAATGGTCGGGGGCAAGGCGTGGGCCCAAGGGAAACCCGCAAAAAGTGCAGAGATTTTTTTTTTTCGTCGACGTGGGTCCGGAGGCTGGTGCGCCGCGGCGGAGGCACGTTGGGTTTAGGGCCGCACACTTTTTGTCGGCAGTGCGCATTGGGGCACGCAATTTTTTTTTTTGGATTCAAGCGGGGGGGCTCCGCGCATCGTGGGCGGGGCCTCATGTTCGAATACAAGTGCAGAACAGCCCCGGACTGGTGAAACTCTACCCCTCTTCAGGCACAACACAAAGAGAGAGAGGGAGAGGGGTGGGGGAGAGAGAATTCACCATGGAACTCTGGCTGTTCACGCACACTGCAGGGAGAGGGGG